CACCAGAAGAACACAAATTCAAAATATTATAGAATGGGAAGAAAATCTTAGTTAATTAAGTTTTCACAGATACAGTGCAACTACCAAATTAATTTAAGTAGGTCAATCAATATAGCAGGTGAGTTTACTAAATATATATTTTATTATATTTTATATTATATATTTTATTGAGTAATATATTACTCAAGTCTATTGATAATGCACAGAGTGATCTTATTTAGACCAAATATAGAAACTATATACTGAGAAAATATTCTACTCAGACTTGACTTTGGTTCCTTTCTACAAAAATTCAAAGATTGTCCCTAAATATCGGCATTTGAAACACTTCAGTTCAGAGGTCTCCAAACTTGGCAACTTTAAGACTTGTGGACTTCAACTCCAAGAATTTTTGAGGACCCCTGCTTTAGTTCCTAGTAGAAATAGAAAGTTAGGAGAAAAAATAGAGATCATTTCATTAAAGAAATGCTACTAGGCATTGGCAGCACCTTGATGACCTTATAGGGACATGGGAACTATCTTGAATCATCCTAGATTACGGGTGTCAAACTCAAGGCCCAAGGGCTGGATCCAGCCCATGAGGTACTTAGATCTTCTCCAGGGCCACCCTGGAAACAGCGAAGGACTGGCCCACGGTGCCTCTGCCAGCAAAAACATAGCTCAGGAAGGCCTCACGCGGCCCTCCCTGGTTCCATTTTTGGCTGTGATGGCCTCCTGCAGCCCTCTGCCAGTGAAAATGGAGCCCGGGGGAGCCATGCGCTAGCAGAGGACTATAGGAGTGACATTGAGGTTACCCCCCCCCTCCCCGTGTCAAACACAACCCTGTTGCGGCCCTCAATAAAATCGAGTTTGACACTCCTGGCCTAGATAATATTTGGATTATATTTCAGGGACTACAAAAACTGCAAATTACACTGAAATGTAAAAATATATATATCCTGGAAATAAAGGGAAATTATTTTCATAGAATTGCTAAAAAAAGTCAGGGACATTACCTGTGAAGTTACAGCAGTCAGGCCAGGTTAGAAGAGGTTACATATTCATTTTTTTCCTAGGAAGTTATTGTAAATGTAACCATTCAGAGGAAGAATGACTTCAAATGTTTGACCAATTTGGATCAAGAGCCCTTTGCAAATAAAGCAGAAGAGTAGTTGCAGCAAATGATTTAGTTTGAGCTGACTGGTGCTTATACTCTCATAGATGATATAATTCCACAAAGAAAGGTCATTCTTAGAAGAAGAAATCATGTGTTATTTATTTCTGAGGAAGATTCAAGGAAGTAATTGAAGAAATAGAGACCGCATCACAGTGATAAAGGAAGAACTTCCCAGTTTTGGTAGAATGGGATGGGACTGTCCCCAACTCATTTTAGATTGTAAAATCTTTTAAAGACTATGATGGAGAGATGAATCTCAAGCAAGTAGGCAGGAGTGGTACAGCCCCATTTAGAAACCTTATTCTGGAGAGACATTGCAAAGAATTCTGCTACTCGTGTTGGCTTCTATAAATATTGATGGTGTTTATGAATATTTTATTCTACCAAGACATAATGGGAGAACAGAGGATGCCCATAAAATATAACCACTAGGGAAATAAGTCTAGTAGTATACTTACAGTCAGTTATGGGTTTATGAAATTGTGGCAGGGCACATTTTCTTTTTTATTATGAATCCTGAACTACAAATCTGAAACAATTGACCTTCAGCCAGTTTGTTCGCAATACAAACCTTGTTTATTTAGATTATTCTCACACTTGGGTTGAGGTTGTAAAACATTCTAATTAACCATGTCTTTCTTAGACCTTGGATGCTTAAATTAGAACAGATGGATTCACTTCTCTGAGTCTTTCATTTCAGGTTTTTATTGAACCATCTGAGGAAATTCTCAGGATGTTGGGACAGTACAGTAATACTTCCAATGCAGGGCACAGGAATTGAATTTTCCATTACATTGTAAAGCCATTAACATTAATAGGTTGGTTGGGATAATCCTGAATTCCTTGGCAACCTTATATTTGATATATAAATTGATGAAGTGCATGGTTATGAAGCAGTAGAAAAAAGACTGAAAATGGTATGTTATTGCAAAATGGTATGTTATTGGAAATAGGCAATCTGGTATCTTTCAGGTATCTTGAATTTCAAACTTTTAATAATGTTTTTCTTTCCCTCTTCCCCCTTCCTTTTTTTTCTTTTCCTTCTCTGAGATATGCCCAACCATAATTGACCAAGCAGCTCTCTCCCTCTCCCCCTCTCCCCCTCTCCCCCCCTCTCTCTCTCTCTCACACACACACACACACACACAGAGAGAGAGAGAGAGAGAGAGAGAGAGAGAGAGAAATCCAATTGGCAACAGTCAGATCATACACCCTACAGTCTAGCCTCAAAGCCTGGAAGAAGAGCCAAGTCTTTCATACCATCAGGGTGCAGGCTACACCCTTCTCTGGGAAACTTCATTCCAGAAGGCAAGCATCATGAGAGAGAAAGCATGCTTCTTGGACTTCAACCAGAGGTGGTATTCAGCAGGTTCTGACCAGTTCTGGAGAACCAATAGTGGAAATTTTGAGTAGTTCAGAGAACCGGCAAATACCACCTCTGACTGGAGATTGTACAGTATCCTTTCCCTGCCATGCCCACCAAGCCACTCCCACAGAACCGGTAGTAAAAAAAATCGAATCCCACCACTGAGTCCAACATATGGCATTGCATAATCAAAGGAACTAAGAATATGCTAAACCTGGATCAAATTGGCAGGGTGGACATCCATGGAAATAGGTGGTCCTTCAAATAACCAGGTGCTATGCCAGGTGTGCTTTTAAAGGTCAATTAGCCTACCTAGGAGCAAAATCTGTGCAGTTCACAAAGCAGGGCTGTAACATGAGCATATCTAGCAGGCTACAGTTTATTCCACATGTCCCCCTGCTGTACTTTTATGCAATTTTATCTGTGCAATTTGACATATATTTCACAAAGGTGTGATGTATATGACTTTCCTCCCAAATGTGTGCCTCCAGCTACTTTTTTGATTTCCTGTTAGTCATGATGGCTGATGAGCATGATAAAAACCCATAAACAGAAATGTATTGGAATATAACCAATCACAAAGTAAAAAAAATGTAATTTTCTTTTATATTTAAATACTAAGGATAGTCCAGTGAAGGAAATATTATCACATGGGTGGTTTGTGTTGCAGTTTGCAAGGTAGCAGAAGAGACTAATTTTGATCAAAGGGCTTTTTCAGTAAAAAAGACTATGTTAAATTACAATTCTCATCATTCCTAGCTCAGAATGATTGTGTTGGGTCGGGATGATGTGAATTTTACTCCAGTATAATTAGAATGCAACAGGTTGGGGAAGACATAGGTTGGCAAGCAATGGATCAGAGCAAAAGGATTAGTAGATAGACCATTTGGAATTGCTGAGAATAAGTTGAGATATGAGAGTATTGTTGACACTGAAAGAGTTTGGGGAGAAAAGATGTAGAATAGTGATAAGATTAGGAATTCTCCAGTCATTTTATTGATCACCTTCACTGATCTTACTATTTTCCTTATCAAAACAATCAACTTAATAAGGTTCTGTGGGAAGCTTCTGGATAACTGAGACACCAATTTAATTGAGTGACCTGGCCTCAGAACAGCAGTTCATATGCTATAATAAATCCATCAAGTTAATCTTGTCATTGTACATTCAGTCCAGGTTCAGCATGTACTGTATAAGTAGATTCTTTTTACGAGAATAACATCAGAAGGAACAGACAAAGTAGAAAGTCAAAAGATGAGCCGTGTCGAAAAACCTTTAGAAATTATTATTGCTAGGAATTGGATAAATGGAGAGTTATAGAGGCCTTCATAGATTAGTAAAGATAGTCTCAGTGTAGGGCCACAATTCAGCCCACAATTTCTGTTGCTAAGTGAGACAGTTGTCAAGTGAGTTTTGCCCCATTTTATGACCTTTCTTGTCACAGATGTTAAATGAATAGATGAAGCTATTAAGTAGTAACACAATTGTTAAGTGAATCTGGCTGCCCCATCGACTTTGCTTGTCAGAAGGTCGCGAATGAAGATCACATGACCCAGGGACACTGCAACTGTCATAAATACTAGACGCCAAGCACCTGGATTTTGATCAAGTGATCATAGGGACGTCCCAAAGGTGGTTTTCCAGGAGGTAACTGGACTTTCTTGGTTTTTCCTTTTTCCTAAGTAAAAAAACCAAAAAAAAGAAAAAAAACCAAGAAAGTCCAGTTGCCTCCTGAAAAAGCACCTTTAGGACAACCATGACCTGGATGACTGAGAATCTCTACATATCATAGGGATGCTGTAACGGACATAAGTGTGAAAAATGGTTATGTCACTTTTTTCAGCACTCTGTTGTAACTTCGAATAGTTACTAAATGAATTGTTTAAGTCGAGGACTACCTGATCTGTTCCAGTGAATACAATTGTTATAGCTCATCTTAGGTTATTGCTCAGATGATGACAATGTAAAGAATCATTCATACTACTACAAGTAATCGAACCCCAGTTGTTTCTTAAATACTACTAATGTTCTCCCCTCCAGAAATAGGATGTAAAATCCTTTTAAACAGATGGTCCATGAACCCATATCGTAATACAATAATTACAATCTTCTTTGAGGAATAGCATTAAGCTAACTAAACAGCTTGCTTGTTCTCTTAGTTAATCCTGCATAATCAAAACTAGTACATTTTCTTTTATTAGTATTCTATACATGGAATGATACCACTAGGAGAGCAGGGGTGATCTGAGAGGACAAGGTCAGTAATGCATCTGAGTAATGCATCTGCTAAAATCAGAACTCCGAGGCAGGTAGATTCCTCAAAGAACATGTTTATTGGATCATATTGGCATAGCTAGTGAAAAACAACTCTAAAAGTTCCTGTGGTTTTTTTTCTAGTTAAAAGAGCAAATATTTCCCTCCCCAGATGTCAGCAGTCACATTGTCCAATGTGAGTAGCTGGCAGGATACTTGGTCACTCCTCTCCTCCCTCAACTTCCCCCTGTTGGGATGACCTTGGTTCCCACAAGAAAACCTTTTGTTTTGACTATTAGCAAACATATCTATCTTCCCCCTCCCTTCCCCCTCTCAGAGTTTGTGGCAACTATGAGGCACCACAAGATGGCTTCAGCCAGGTTTGCTTCAGAGTTCACAGACAGTCCATAAAAAGAACATTTTAATGAGAAATTGGAAGCTAATAAAAGATTCATTTTTTTAGACAAATTCTGTGGGAACTGTCAAGAATGGGACATTGTTTTTCAGATTCTGCTTTTTTAACATTGATGAGTTTTGGGGCTGCATGAACATAGACTAGTCATCTTTTGTTCTGATGTTTTGCCAGCTGCTGTGGCTGATTTGAGCTGTACTTCTAAGGAGTTCACAGGCAACTGAACTGAACTGAATGGTCTTGTATTTGAACCTGGCAACCTGATCTCTGATTGGGTCCCATGTCATAGGAGTCCAAGAGCTAATTTGGTCTAGTGTTTAAGGCAGCAGGCTAGAAAGCAGGAGACCATGAGTTCAAGTCCTGCCTTATTTATGAAAGCCAGTTGGGTGACTTTGGGCCAGTCACTTTCTTTCAGCCCAACTCACCTCACAGAGCTGTTGTTTTGAAGAAATGGGAGGAGGAAGATATATTGGATGTATTTATTACCTTGAATTATTTGTAAAAATAAAGAAGATGGGATACAAATACATTTTTTAAAAAAACTGGTTCACATTAGGCCAACTGAATGAGGAATTAAGATGGGTATCTTATAAATGTTTTAAATTAAATAAAGGAATGCTCACTATGTCCATCCCACATTTACTGCCAGGCATCAGATCCACTCACTTTATCGCCCCCCCTCCTGCACAATGACAGATGTACCAATTTGAGGATTAATTAATGGCTGTTTTGCAAGCCATGACATGGAGTGGAGAAGTATTGATGGAGCACCATCTATGTGCCCAGCAAGGAAGTGCACTGCTATATGCACAGCAAGTACATGGACCTCAAGACTAGGCACATATTGCTGTGTTCACAGAGAGAAGAGGTACAGGTCAAACAGCTGCATCTTCCTCTTGATTCATCTCTGAAGCAAAGATGCAAACTGTAGATGCAATTAAATTTCAGCTGCCCCCGCTCTTTCGGTATGCTATGTAAAGAAGTAGGAAGTGCTTTTCAAATGATAATCATATAGCTAATTTTGAACTTACCTGAGGGTACAAGTTTAAGTCTTGAAAAACATGAATCTCCTTCTTTTTAAGTAGAAATATAGAAAGAAATATAGAGAGGACATTCATTTAATAGGGAGGTTCTCACATTTTCCAAAATATTTATTTAAATGTCAGCAACAGCAGCAGATTGGAGGAATGCTGACCTGAACAATATTTTGGAAAAAATGTTTGGGTGTTTCACAGATTATCTTTGCTTATCTACTTTCTGCAGAGGTTCTAAACATATCTCTTTGAGATTTCTTTCTTAGTTCCTTGTAAGCTCTGTTTAGCTGTTTTCTTTAAATCCAGTGCTTACTGAAACTATATTGTCCTTTTTGTGTCAAGTAAATGTCATTTTTTTTTTGTTCTAACTTGAGAAAAACAATGTGAAAAAGAAGGAAATGTAAATTAGGACAACTGGGCTTTGTTTAGTAGAAGTTAAAACTATATTTCCCTGTAAAATCTGAGGTATTTACTAATAAAGTTACCGCTGTTCTGGTACACATCAGTGGTGGGATTCAATTTTTTTTTACTATCTGTTCTGTGGGCGTGGCTTGGTGGGCGTGGCAGGGGAAGGATACTGTAAAATCTCCTGTCAGAGGTGGTATTTGCCAGTTCTCCAAACTACTCAAAATTTCCACTACCGGTTCTCCAGAACTGGTCAGAACCTGCTGAATACCACCTCTGGTACACATACACAAACTCAAACAGTGAGAACTAGAATATTACAGTAATTTGTTTAAAATGCCTTCCAATGTCATCAAGTAAACAACAGAAATATGAACTTTGTTCCTCAAGTCTTTGTCACAGTAACTGGATGTTTTTGAACACATGGCAAGGAAATTATGTTGAGGATAATCATTGTTTGACTATCTGTGCAACTGAACAAACATTTGCAGAACAGGGTGCTTGAACTTGTGTTTACCTACTGAGTTGAGAGATTATTTGATAATTTACAACATTCATATGCTATAATGCTAAATCTGATTAATATATTTGTCCAAACCTTCTATTATTTCAACCAGATCCTATAGTTATTTAAGCGTTGTTGTTTGCTGAGGGAATGCAAAATAACCCCTCAACAGCTGCACTGGATAGCAAATATTTAAGCCAGTGTAATTTGCATATTACATATAGTCCTCACAAGGTAAACTTTTTCAGTGACTGTTCTAAGTCACAATAGCATTGAATGAGGGGGACTTACAAAAGGTCCTTGTAGTTGTGGCTGTCCCAACATCCCCTTAGTGAGTGATAGCAAATTGGGCTCTCCGTGACTGGCTTCAAATTCTGATGTTGCACTGCCCCATAATAACTGATTGCCATTTGTAACCTTCACTGCCAGCTTCTAACAAGCTGAGTCAATGAGGAAGTTGGCAGGAGGTTGCAAATTATGATCATGTGATTGCAAATGCTGTGGACTGCACAAGATTTTTCTAATGACAGCAACTGGGACTGCCGCAATTACTGCAGTAAATCAGCACAATCATTGCAATTTATGGCTCTGTCATTTATGGATGGAGTTTCCTGTCTCAAATATACTCAGTAAGTGAGGGCTATATGTCCCTGGGAGTTGTTCACAATGTAAAATATTTAAATTAAGTTTTTTTAAAAAATATATGTGAATGTAGCAAGTTGATTTCATAAGAGTTTTGATCAAGTTGCCCTAAGTCAAAAGGCAGCTTTTAAAAAAATAATTTAAAATGCCCATGTCTACCAATTATTATTGTTTTTCTGTTCTTATTTTTTTCTGTGCCAAAATAGAACACCAGTGTTTGAATCTAGAAAAAAAAAACCAACCCAAAATGACCAATCTTTTTTTTAAATGATCATTAGAATTTTGCCAGAAGATTGAAACCAATTTACTCTAGTGCTGTCTGATGTACCCACTGATTCTTTTGAAATATTTTTTTTAACAGTCAGCCATGGAAATTGCTAAGCTACTCCTGGGAAGTCATTTTCTTTCAAATGAATGCAATAATTCATGATCCACAGTTCCTTAAAGAATAAAATGCTGTACTGCATATAGGATATTAAATACTGAACCAAATAGTAAGTAATATATCCTCTTTGATCAATACTTCCTTGTACTACAAGAGGCTAATTCAATCTTAAATTGAATATTTAGATCTGTTTCTGAGAGCCTACAAGCATATAACACAACTGTGTTCCTCACTGGGTGCACAGGAAGATTTATTGCAGTGTCCCTCCAGGAAGGCATTCAGCCCTTGTGAATATTTAAGTGTTGGGAGTGGGTGATTTACATTGAGATACTTTTTTAAAAAAATAAGCCCTTTCAATACACAATAACATTTGAAAATAGAAAAAAAATCAACAGCTGTTTTATTCAACTATGGTTAATATAATCTTGATTTAGGATGAAGGAATAAAGGAATGATCATAGTCCAAGTTGATAGGACTGATTTTAAGATTTGATCATTGAAGACGGAGAACATTTTTTTAAAAAAATAATAATAATTCTGGAAATTTGGCCATGACACTGTTTCTAATGAATTTGTGGAATTTTGCAGCAACCACTGATCATATTGATCAAAAATGAGCAATTGTTTCATCCATTTCACTACAAAGGTGACATTTGCTGTTGTTTGTTACATGTTGAATTACTGTAGTTCCACAAAGCTTGTTCTCAAGCCATTAAATTAAGCCTTCAATTACGGTTTTTTAAATATTCTCGATTTTAACCAACTCCATACAGGTTTTTTTTTTATCAGCTTTTCCTTCAATATCCTTCAAGTATTGATCATGCATTCGCTTGTTCTTCCAATTAACAAATCAGTTCTCAATTGTTTCTTCTTTCTATTCAGCCTTCACCTTTCTTGTTTTCAAGAGCTTTCTTTGATTGATTTCCTTCAGCAAGGTTCTTGGCTTTTCTTAATGTAGTCATTGAGGCCATGCTTTCCTTCCTCCACAGTTTGTTTCATTTGTGAGAGTCCTTTATTATCATTATCTGTTCACAACAATGTGAATTCACAGCTGCCTCATATGCATTGAGTTTTCCCCAACAGTCTAGAATGTCATAATGCATCAGCAGATCAAAGCAGTTTCTTCTTTGGCAATTGACAGATGGAAATATTGTCAATGCACAGATTTTCTAACTGATTTTTTGGTGTGGTACCCAGCATGCCAATAACCACTGGAAATGCCATGGGCAGTTTACCATAGTCTTTTAATTTTGATTTACAAATCTTGATATTTTGTAATGTCCAATTCTTTGTCTTCTAATCTATTCTACTATTTCCCGCTATTGATGGCTTTGATTGTGTTCCCACTATTTAGCTTCCTCTTTAGCAAATTCTGAACGCTTTTGGATACAATTCTTTACTAATCACATTTTAATTTGTCCATGAAATAAATGAGGATGCTCCTGACACAGGCAGTCTCTTAACATTTTAAAGCTTTTAAGGTTAAAACCAGAAGAAAGTAGCATTTTCTCATACTTTGGAGACACACTATGCCCTATATCTTACTTAAGAGGCATAGTAGTTGCAAGGAGAAGTTGTGATTTAACCTTTATGGAAAATTAAGGTATTTGATTTTGTCCCTCATAGCCTCTCTAGATGGTCTCTATGTGGAGGGGTTCAAAGAGGAGGTTTTGCAAAGTTTGAGGGATCCTTTTTGCCCTTTCTCTTCCCCACAAATATAATATCCTAATTTTAGCCCTGTTCACTTGGAATTCTTTTTTTTAAACAAATTTTATTCAGTTTTTCATATTAAAAACAAAAATCTCTTTTTAGTGGACAACATATTTCCAGGTCATCACCATTACATACAAATATGACAGCAATTATACGTTCGTATATGCATACTTAATTATATTATTACCTTTTCCATTCCAAATTTTCAGTAAGGAGAGAAACAAACACATTAATTCTAGCCTCTTTCATTAATCTCAGTCGAAACATCTTTTTGTTTCATTTCAATTATTTCAAATATAATCCTTTAATATTTATTTTAAAAATAAAGATAAACAATATGTGTTTGCCTAATAATAATAATAATGATGATAATAATAAAACAATTACCAATGTCTCTCCTTGCTTTTAATAGTCTATATTAACTTATTAATTTCATTGGTTCTTTAGTCTGTCATATTCCCTTTCCATTACACATTCTTTTTATAAATTCTATATTAATACAAATTTTAACACTAAAAAAAACAAACAAGTATAGGTTTTCCCCCTTTTACTGTGTTGAGTGTGACACCTCAATGATTAAAATATACCTTTATTCCCTCATCTTGATTCCCAATAAACCATTATTTTTAAGAAGTTACAATAATAATCATTACATCTTTTCATTTGGATTCTGCAGCATATTTTGATTTTTAATAAGAGTTATCAGTATCTACATTTCCCTATTTTCTAAATGTTTTTAATTGCAGAAATATTCTTATTACCCCTTGTCACCCTGCAGAATCCCCTTTTTAATTCATCAACCATTATCTCTGAAAAAACATTTTTTCAACATTTTACTATTTCCGTATTTCTTTATTTCATGCACCTGTTTCTTACTGCTTCTCCTTCCCCTCTTTTCCCCATATCTTTTCTCATTCCAGTTTATATCCCTCTCTTTCTTAATATCTTCCTTTCCCCTTTTCTGCTGGGTTTTTCTGCCTTTCCTGACTTCACAGGTATTCCCCCTTTTGATTGCCTTCTTAAGTCTCAACTTTTTAATCTTCCTTCTTTCCCCACTTCTTTGTAGCGTTCTTTGTGTTAATTGTCTATTTAAGATGTCTTCTCCTTGAGTCGACTCCTCCTCCTCTGAAGCTCTTTCTTCTTGTTCTTCAATCGCCATTTCCATTTTTTCTAACACAGAGCAAAGTGATTCGCCTCTTTCCTGTAGTAATTCTCTCATATTTTTAAGTTCCATTTTTAATTCCTGAAGAGATATCATCATTACATACTCTTATATTTTATGATTGTTAAAGTCCACAAAAAAAAAAAAAAAAAAAAAAACACTTTTACTTTCCTTCTTTCTTCTTTCAATTTTCTAAAGTTCTCAGTTTTTCCAGCCGAGGGTCTATACCAAAAACATCAATCAATCCCACAGTCAGTCTTTCCTTGCTTTTTTCTTTATTCTGGTTCTGCTTTCACTTTCTAAGATTCTTACTTTGTTTCAATAATTCTTTAATGTTATACCACACAAGTTCATTCAGAAACAGGATGCTTTCCCTTTTGTTTGATCTCAAGTTTTTGTCAAAAGGTGGCACTCTCCATTATACAAAGTCTTCACCTTTCCCCCCTATTTTTTTATTTAGGGTTTTTCGAACCTCAATATTCCAGCACAGTCCAGTCTCCAATTTGTAAACTTTATTATTATTATTTTTTGACAATCTTAAGTCCAGCTTTATTTTATGCCTGTTTATTCCCAAAATATTTTAGTCCAATTTAGTTAAATCTTTAGTTTCAGCTTCTTCCTTTCCTGGTTCAAAGCCCCGCTTAGCTGTCAAAAATATTTTCTTTTTTTTCCCCCTGTCCCTTTGTAATTTCGCCATTCACTTTTCTTTTCTTAAAAATTCCATGTTACCTTAATCCCGGGGTACTTTTGTTTAGTTGTATTGCCCAATTGTCCCGGTTCAGATGTTATCCACCTCTTTCTTCCCTCCTGCACAAATCTTAATCCAGCTGAGTCCTCCTCTTTGGGGTGGCCATTTTAAACCACCGCTGCAGTCGTCTTCGGGGGGGGGGGAGATCAAGCCCAGGGGGAGAGATGCGGCTCCCCTCCCCTGGCTTGCAGCTTCCCCTTACTCCACCGCCCCTCCAAGGCAGCTTCAGCCCCTAATCATAATGATCGGGGCTCTCCAATGAAAGAGCACGGACCATAGCCACAGAGAGTCGCGATCTATGGTCCGTCAGCGAGGAGGCTCCGCCTTCTTCCAACTCAGAATTCTGAAGGCTGCAAGTGGTCCTCATGCTGGAGATGGACAATTTCTGTTTAAAACCATCCCTAGGAACATAATGATCAGCCAATAGAGGTAATTCAACATTACATAGGAAAAGCCAGTTTTGTGTACTAGCTAAGATTCAAGCTGTAAGAATTCAGTTAGGTTACTTTGGTTATTCATCCTCTGTCAGTTCAGCCTAAGCCACATAATTGTTGAGATGAAATAAGATTTTTTTGCAAGCTGTATACTAAAAAAAGTCATGGATGGAGAACAATTTAATTTTCTGGCTATCCTCCCATGATAACTTCATACAGACATGGTCAAATAGCCTAAAGTTAATCAAGACATGTCTATGGAGATTCTCAGTCATCCAGGTCATGGTTGTCCCAAAGGTGCTTTTTTTCAAGAGGCAACTGGATTTTCTTGTTTTTCTTTGAAGATGTTTTGCTTCTCATGCAAGAAGCTTCTTCAAAGAAAAACAAAAAAGTCCAATTGCTTCTTGAAAAAAAAGCACCTTTGGGTTAATCAAGACAAGACAGAACACCAGAACGGCGCCGCTTGGCATGAAGCCTCTTTGCAGCCGACCCTGAGCGAGCGGTCCGGGAATCCCATCTTGAGCGGGCTTCCTCTTGTTGGGTAAGGCGATCGAGCGATCGGCTGGGATCTAGCGGGCGGCCTGGCGAGCGCGCGTGCTTGGAGAGCCTCTGCAGCCCCGAGACGCTCCGAAAAAACTTTCTTCGCCGAGGCTTTCTTGGAGAAGTCCCATTTTCCGGTTGCTAAAGGCAGAGGACAGAGCTTCCATTTGCGGGGCCACCTGAAAAGCCGATCTGACCCGTGGGGGAGGAAAAGCGCGAGGGGTTCCCAGCGAGGGGATTTTGCATTTCTTGGACTTCCGAGTTCTTCGCTGCTTCTCCCCGGGAAGGAGGCGATTTCTTCGGCGCTGAGCCCATCCGCGGCGCGGAAAGGAAACAGCCCCAGAGGGGAAAGTGAAAGTGCCGGGAAACGATCGGGAAGGGCCGGCAGAATCATCTCCCCCAAGAGAAAGTGAGGACTGCAGGCGCTATCTCTGCTTGGCGCCCTCGGGACTCAGACTCGAATAGAACTAGTTTAGAGTAAATGTTTGGCGGATTGCTGGCCTTTCAAAAGATACAAAGATTCGTTCGTGGCACAAAGCGAGCGTTCTCACGACCCGCGAAAGAGCGCTAACAAACAGCCCGGAGGCGCAAAGGCAAGCGGGCGAGGGCCATCTCATTCATCAAGGGAAAACAAAAACAAATAGTTTCCTGTGAGCTGTTCAATCTTTCCTTCACTCAGATAAAAACCCTTGGATCATTGTGTTACAACTTCCTGTTTACAGAGTAATAGCGATCTGCTTTTCAAACAGCGATAAATTCCTCTCTGCCAGTTAAACAATTAACCCGTTCCTTGCAGACTCTTAATACTACCTCATTACCTCAAATCTTACAACTTTTCTACCTCATCAGCTATATCAACGATTAGATAATCAATTTCTATAAAATATTTTATTAATGGTTTAACTGATTTATTGTTTTTAATTGATTAGTGTGATTAGAGTGTTTAGTGCAAATAGTGTGATTACTGACTAGTTTAAAAGATCAAAATTCATGTAATTTAATTGAATAGCAAAATCATTGATCTAGTGAATTTAAATGAACAGTGTGGTTAATAATTAGTGAATTTAAATGAACAGTGTGGTTAATGATTAGTGTAATTAATTGATTAATGATTAGAGTAATTAACTATTCAGGCTGATTGTTGCTCAGGAATATTATCTGACTTGAGAGATTACTGCAATTGATTGTTTGATATAATATTGGCTATATAGATTACCCAAAATTGTTCCTCTAATTAATTCAATCAACGTACTATTTTAACAATCCTACCATGCCAAAAAGAAAATCCTACGTCAAACCACAACCTAAAGAGAAGATGATCCCCACCAGTGAACCACAAGACTCCTGCACATGCCTTAAATGCTACAAAAATCTAAAGGATAATGAAAACTCCATCAAATGTTCTCTGTGTAAAAAATACACTCATCATGACTGCTTGGGATTACCTGAGCAGATGATTCAATACCTAAAATCATCCAATGAGTTTCCACATATCTGCAAATCATGCAGACCCAAACTGGATCTGCCTGAAAGAGTTGATACCATTGAAACCATTGAAACATCCCCTACCATCGAAACCATTACAACATCCCTCAACATCATAGTAGCATCCCTGGACGCCGTAAAAGAAAGAATATCCAACCTTGAAAAAAAGGACACAACGCAAAAACCTGAACATCCAATAGCTACTAACCACATCTCTACCAATCAACCACAATCCAATCCACAACCCAATCCACAAATAAACACAACCCAGACAAATATTGATATCCCAATTCTCATCAGAGAAGCCGTTGAGCGTGAACGGAAACGCCCAAACGCCATCTTATTTGGTCTAGAAGACATCAATGTCAATGATGACATCACAACTGTCCGAAACATCATCAGAAATTATCAAGCATCAACCATCTCCGCTGATGAAATACTTGACATTTCCCGCATTGACCGAGAGCTCAAAAATAGAGATGGCTCTGTGGCCCCACGCTTGTGCAGGGTCATTTGCAAAAATGAATCAAGCAAACGTAAATTCATTTATACTATAAACTCACTCGCCAAAACCAACACCATCCATAAGAACCTCCGTTGCCGCCCTGACCTAACCATACAGCAACGTGCCCGCTCCCGTGCACTCCGCATCGAACTCAAAAACCGTCTAGATAATGGAGAGAAGGACCTGTACATTGACTACCATGCTGACTGTATCAAAAGTAAACCACTCAACCCAATACTCAGCTTTTACCCTCAACCACAACCCTACCTCAACCCATCCACCATCACCCAAGACTAGGCACGCACGCCCCCAACTACCTCAATTCCAACTACTGCCGGCCTTAAATGCAAACTACTCAATGCAAGAAGCCTCGTGAATAAAATACCTGAATTTCTCTTCCTCCTAAATATGGCTAACTTCGACATTATATTTGTCTGTGAAACATGGCTCAATGCATCTCTCCCCGACTCCATTACCACAGTAAGAGACTATCATGTTTACAGATCAGATCGTGAAAATCGTCGAGGAGGTGGAGTTGCTATATTCTATAAAAAATCCTTACATCTAAAAAATATCCAAGTTACCCAGGAGTTTGCCCTTCCTGAAACCATCATCTGTGAACTATCCTCAAATATCACAATTTGATTCTTACTATGTTACAGAGCACCTGATTATGACATCGAACATGTAAACAAGCTAAATACATTACTAACATGGGCTGCATCCTGCCCATACCCTTTTATCCTTCTTGGTGATTTCAATCTACCTCATATTAACTGGACCCTAAATGATTGTACAACTGAAATCATACACACAACCTTCTACAATGCTATTACAAATCTGGGACTGGAACAACTAGTAACCAACAACACTAGACTAAACAACTGCCTCGATCTCATCTTCTGCAACAGTTTGAACCTAATCTACGGAATACAATCTAAAGAACCCTTTTCCAGTAGTGACCACAATATGATCGACTTTTGTCTCAACATACATCCACACAAAAATCACCACAATGATGTAATCCCCTATTGTAACTTCAAAAAAGGCAACTATGATCTTATAGACAACGATCTCTCATCCCTTGATTGGCAATCTCTATTCACTGGATGCAATACTGTTGAAGACCATTATAACATATTTTTACTTGAAGTCAAAAGAGTCATCAAACTATATGTACCAACAACAACTCCCAAAACAAAACAAAAAAGCAGATTACCCATATCAATAAGGAAACTTCAATCCAAAAAGAGATCACTCTGGCGGAAAAACAAATCTGGTCACGTTGCCAATTTCAAAAACCGATACAAA